TGAGGGGCCCAGAACTGGCCACAATATTCCAGCTGTGGCCTCATTGGGGCAGATAAAGTTGTTTTGACAAAAGTACAAGAATTATAGGGTTTTTCTTGGCAATATGATTTCTTGTGTCCACCACTAATACCTGAGAAAGCCATGTGCCTACTTTCACCTAATCTTTTAATCCTCATATTTTTATTCAAGTACATATGCTTCCAAATTAAACTCTTATGCTTTGTTTGCTCTCATTTTCAATAAAAAAGATTAAGATCCCTGCCTGACAAGTATAAAATTGAGGCCATATAACTTTCAAGAGAAGGCAAGTCATTTGTTTGGTAGAGGAGTGGACAAGTACTCTTCTAATATTGATCTTCGTATATGTAGAATTACAACAGGATTGTTACATGATTGGATAAAAGTCAACACACTACAGTGTCTTTATGTAAGATAGGATCTACCCTGGGAAAGAATTTCAGAACCTTTGCTCCTGATGCAAGTTCTTATACTACAAATTTTAAAGCAACTTTTCCGCTTTGAGCTGAGGGACTAGGGCAAATGTAGTGTACTTTGAAATGGGTATTTCTCCTTACTCTCCTCTAAATATCACTCTTATTTTGAAATTAGAGAATAAAAAGTAAGGGAAGGGTATATAGAGCCAACAACAAAGACACAGGAAGATTTAAAAAGCACCAAGCATCCTAGTACCATACATACACATTGCACACAAATAATTGATTAATTTAACTGTATGTAAGTGAGATGCATTACAACAGTCTACAGCCAAGTAGCATCCTACCACAGGCCTTTACATCCACGTTTAAACAACCTACACTTGAAGTCGGTTTATTTGCTTATACTAGCCTGAATATCAACCCTAAAAAGACAATTTTGATGTCTGAAGAAATTATAGCAGCTGAAATAAATGTTCATACTTTCTCTAGCACATAGTCAAAGAGCTGTTTTTCCATTTGAAGTACTATATCTCAAGTAATTTTTTGTGTTTCAAATGCACACAAACTGTATGCTTGCTGGTGTCATAAACGAGAGCGAGATCTCACTTTGTAAGAGAAAAGGACTCAACAGTGGCTGTATGTGTGCCGCAGAATTAGGTAAGTCATGGCCTTCCAGGAATAAATTCAATCATTATCCTTTGAAGAAAGTAGCTAGGAAGCAGAATTCTGCTCACTATAGCAAGTATATATTTAACTTCACTAAACTGCCTAAAGTTACATTTATGAATCCATCTGAAGAACTCAATTATTAAGTCTTCCTGTCTAGACTTGAGAAGTAAATAAATATTACCTAATGCGTGGTATTCAATACAAAGAAAACAATCACATTTATACACACTTGCTGCAAGATGAATCAAGTTAGTGATGCCTCCTCTGCTTGCTATTTTGGGTTGACATCTATATTTTGTTTAGTCTGCAGGTTATTAAATTGACTGCCTATTCCTTGCATTCAGCTACTTTGACTGAAACACTGATGGCAATTGACGTCTGTCTTTCAGAACAGGCCTCATTTAGTTATATGAAGATTAATACAAATAAGCAATTGAATTACTACTTGCTGCTGCATCAGAACAGTTGCTGGAAGATTGCTGTGTTTATATAGGTCCAGGTGCTGCATAACTAGAGAGAAATAGGCCCAGCCTGCAAGTAGACATCGCCCCCCCCTCCCTGGAGTCATGAATCCTCAACAATCACATCTATTTGTACAGTTTAACTGACAAACAGCATTGCCTTCAGTTTAGGAAAGCAATTGCTCTAAGTGTACAGTTACCAGTACTGGGATTGCACTAACCAGCAGTCCATGCCCATGCTGTCCTCAGCTATTTTGGGCTACTTTGCAGAGAATCTGGGGCCTACCAAAAATGGTATTTGGTCTTAACAAGACCTGTGGTTGCCTAATGCTGTCAGTGTGGCAGAATAAACCCAAAATTTATACCAAGTCAGCTTTTAATCTTCTCACCGTTTTGATTTTACTTTACTGGAGTTGCCATTTAACCAAGGGTAGAAAGACACAGGCAATACAGCACAATGGATAGGCAGTGATAGGTATGGACAATTCATTCTACCTTTGAGGTGTCTGGATACTTCAGTACCTTGGTGAATAAGAGCAATACTGTCACAGCAAGCAAGAAGTTTACAGCTTGTTATCATAGCTGCTGTCCACCAAGTATCATCCAGAAGCAAGTTCTTTTCAGTCATTTTAATACCTTAAAATAAATTCTGGGATGTAATATCCTGAAGAGATGCATATGTTTTAGTCCCTAGGACAATAACCAAGTGTCAAGGCCTACACCATTACTCTGAAATCTCCACCAGCAGTTCCTTTAGGGTTGCTGCTATAATTAGCAGCAGCATATTGGTGCTTGTAACTACAAGTGTGCATAGACTACAAACTGCTCAGTGTTAGAGCCTGTCACTCATAACCTGATCCACAGCAGACTTGTTGAAAATGGCACAAGGAAAGCACATCTGCGAGAGTTCTGGTAATACAAAGCAAAGCACATGAAGCTGTATTGTAAAGAGTGGAGAATGAGGCTTCAGATTTCCATTCTCTTTATTGCCAAGAGATTTATATTTAAAATGCCAAGGTCCAAAAAAATGTTGTGTAATAAATACTTCACTTTAGGCTGTAATAAATAAAAAAAAATTATTAAGAAGGAATGCACTTTGCCAGCCACAAGTGTGGGTATTTTTGAAAAAGAAAAAAAAAACCAACAAAACACAAGAATATGGCCATAGTTCACAGTTAAGCAGCCAGAAGCTGCTTATTACAGCTATTCCACGACAATGGAGCTCTCCCTTCCCCTCCCTTTCCAGATGCGTATTCACAGTTTAACTCCATCAGAAATGCTCTCTTACACAGGAAGCAGTCATGTTCTGCTCAGAGTTCAAGTCAAAAATATCTTTAACACACATATGAAGCACGGAAAACTATGGTCCGAAGAACTCCTTGTCACATCATTTTAGTCCAACAGTAGGCTTAGGCTTCTAACATATGTGTGCCCAGCACACTAGGACAGTCAAGTTTTCGTACCACCACACATCCATCATCAACATACTAGTTGCTCCACTATCCCCACTGTAGAATTTACTATCCCCACTGTGGATTTCTCTATCCCCACTGTAGATTTCACAGTGAACAAGAGGGTCCGTTTGGTTTAACGGTCAGTCCCTTCAGTTACATCGCTGCAGCAGCATGTTCAAAGCATATTCCATTCTGTGTTTTAGTTCCAACGAGCATCCAGAAACAAGAAGAGTCGTCAGGCGAAACGTTGTGGATATCCTGTCTTCATTGATGTAGGTAAGGAGATACTCTTCACTTTGATTGCAAATGATGATTTTCGTGTGATCATGATAGAAGTTCACCTGCAAAAAAGAAGCGAGTTCCCATTTATATACTTTCTTCTCTCAGTTTCTGGCACTTGTCTAGTTTTTCTGCAATAAAGTAGTAAAGACACTACCAAACTTACTTGAAATGTGCCATCATTGAAGAGCATCATTAATGCTTTATCAGATTTTAGCCACTGTAATAGGTAAAGCCTGGGCCTGCGTACATCTGTTATGCTGGGCAAATCTCCTCCCTAGGAAAGAGAATAGACACCACATTAAGCATTCAGTTCACATTTAGTTTATTTAACTCCAGATCCAGAAGATGTGGAACTTACATCCATGAGGTTCTCTTCCATGTAGTGAGAGAAATACTTCAGTACAGTTACTTGGCTAATGAACTGTTCAGGAGCCTCTGTGGCTGAGAAGACAGAGCACTGGCCTAGCTCAGCATAGTAGTGGACTGTCCTGCAAGAGGAGAAAGAAAGGAGGTTAGAGAGGAGATAAAATCTTAAACTACCTTAGCAAGTTGTCAGTTCTGTAATCATTTGTAATCCTTCTTACTTTTTGTCTGGCAGAAGGCTCATATGCGCCCCATTGTTGAAAAGGACACCAACAGTGTGATCTGACAGCTGGTACCCAAAGCCATACTTGTTAGAGTAATCCACCCATTTCGTAACCCACTGGAAGGATGCTGTCAGCTGCTCCTTGGGCATACTGTCTGCTTCCGGCATATTCTCCAGACATCCTCGCAATACCCTAGCAACTGTATCAGCAACGCTTCCCATGGTACTGTCTTCCAGGCCTGAAAAACAACGATTATTAGACTGACAACAGCACACACAGCAGGCTTTTATTCTAAGCCTCTAAGTTATCTAGACTGTGATTTTAAGAATTTTAGCCTTCATGGCTTTCCAGCTTTAACTCTTACAAAATATTGGCTGTCAACTTCAGAGCATCAAAAATAAGATGTGGGGGGAGGAAAGAACCTGTTTGTTCTAAACTACTAAGTCCAAGACATGAAGAAGGTAAAGGTAGGATTTAGAATTGGAGATTACATTTTGCTGCCCTTACATTCACTGCTACTGCTGCAGCTTCCCAAAGTTCCTCTGACTATCATGCGAATAGAGTCTCCAATCTGCTTGGTTTCTGGCAAGCCTCCCGGCTTTGCTACGGTTGTGATAAGAGGCTGGATCTCCTAGAAGAGATGTTAGACATGTAAATATCAAACATGAAACAAAACCAAGCTTATACACAAGTTTTGCATGGCTCTCCTGTTTCTCAACACATAATAAATTCAAAGGAAACTGGTATTAACGTTTCCAGCAAGTACAAAGAGCTACTGTTACGGTGAGCTTAAAGAAGCATGCCCGCTCTTTCCATTCTTTAGATCTTCAATTTGCATCTTACACGCTATTAATCGGTTCAAGAGAACAGCTGCGTGCAGGTCTGAACACCAAATGGCAAGAGTTAGATCTCAGCAATTTATTCTTTAAGAAGTCCTAGTTAATCATGAACTGAAGCCCTGTATTTGGAATATTGGGAAAGAGCACCTGGCAGACAAGTTACCACACACACAACAATGGAGTCTAGGCAGATACTATAATTACTCAAAAGTCGAAATTGATAGTTTCCCTCCAAATGCTACCATACCTTGGTGAAGCTTCGTTAAGCCATCTTAAAGCAACTTGCTAATCATTTAAGCTTGCTTATGCTGTGTACAGCACTGGCTCTGATATCCAAGTTAAACATAATTTCATTATAGCTACTCTGCCCAACTGTTATTGGATTTGAATTGAACTGCACTTGCATTTACCTCATTTGTCCTGTGTTTCTGGGGCTGCTGGGTTATGGATGTCTTCTTCAAATCATGCCTGAGCTTGTAGATTTCTTCATCTTCTTTAGCTAGTCTGTCTGTAATAAGAAAAAAACCCCAAAACTTAATGCTGCATCTAAAAGTGTTATTCAATCACAGAAAGCTGTAGAAAGCACAATGTCTCCCTCCAGTAGCTTCTTCTAAACCTGCCACAGTCTCCCAGAACAGCAGTGCCATTATACCCAGATAACTAAGAAATAAAACTTCAATAGACATTACAGACTAACGTATGACCAATGTAGATTGTCAGTATGCCATAAGAAAGCATTTAATTGTGTAAGTTAGAGCAAGCTGCAGACTACCGTCTATACTTGTCGATAAAGAGGTCAAAACTAACTCATTGAAACTCAGAAACATAAACGCAAGTGCTCCACTGCTATCACATAGCATACGTACAAGTTTCAAGGGTAGCTACAATTGACTTACTGTGTGTGTCGAAATATCTGGCTTTATCCTTTTTACCACCAAAGAGAGCAGCAGCTGCTTTTTTGAAGAAGTTTTTAGCAGGACTTGACAAGTGGAAATCAGGAACAGTGTGACAACAGCTAGCAGAAAGTCTATCAGGTGTAAAGCCCTGTGGAAATAAGACGAAAAATATTTTTAGACCACAGTATGCTTTTCAGGGTAGATATTTTTGTAGTGAGAACACTAGACAGTACAGACCTGTAAGAAAAAATCGTGTTGAATTATTTCATCTAAACTGGGTCGATCTTCAGGATTTTTTGACAACATGCTGGCTATTAAGTGTTTTGCAGGTGCCAAGAGAGATGAAGGCAGGCTGTATCTTGCTTCCCTTATACATCTGTATGTTTCTTTAAGATTTGTGGTCTCAAACGGGGGTCTTCCCAACAGCATTGTATACCTGTTTAAAAGCAAACAAAACCAGTTTTACTTTTTTTTTTTTTTAAACACACCCATGATACTGATCTATAGCTATAGAAAAGGCTCTGTCTGTCTCCTAACAGGAAAAGTGAATTTCTGCACTTGAGCTACACATGTATAAAAGGATGCAAACTGATGCAGTACTGCCTCCGCTTTGAACTCTTAAAAGCCTAAGACAGTGACAGAAATATTTCATTTCAAAGGCAGTGAAGTACTTACATTACACAGCCTAAGGCCCAGATGTCAGATTCACAGCCGTGCCCTTGTTTGTTGAGGACTTCTGGAGAGAGGTAATTTGGTGTGCCACATATTGTTCTGCAAATCAAAGAGGCCACAGAACCAGTTAGTACTTCAGACAGAAAGAGGAGAGAAGCTATTTTCATAGGGTAGGTTTTTCTCTGAAGTTCCGTGAAGAACTCAGAGATTCCTAAAGAGGAGCTGTATGAATATTAATAGCATTAGACATGTTTCATGGTATCTTGATGATACAGAAACAACAGACTTGTTTCTGCACATCAGTCAGGTACCTTGTCTGTAGCATTTGCAATTATTCCCATGCTCAAAGGAAAGCAGATGTCAAAGCACAGAAGCCTGCTTTCTAGAAGGTGAAATCCTGATCCAAGAAGTAATTAACATTTGCTATGGAACAGGATTTCTCACTCCTAAATGAATTTGTTTTCATTTACTACTAGCCTTTACAATTTTTTACGCTCCTACCTCCTCCTGTGCTCCAGTGGTTCCAGTCTAGCTGCCAATCCAAAGTCACCCAGTTTCAATTCCATGTTTTCATTAATGAAGAAGTTACCTAGCAGACAGAGAAATTCCAGTTACTCCTTTTCTTGCAAGGTAGGAATGTATTTGCCACAGGTGCTGAGTCATACATTGTTCAAAGCCAGAAGCTAGCCAAGATATTTTTTTAAGTACAAATGCTTAATGTCAGCCCTTAAGCACTCCAAGTTTCCACGTAAAGACGGACTGAGTTGATTCTATTAAGCTATCGCCAAGCAAGTGTAAAGTGGTACAACGTTGACAGGGCTGGAGGAGCATGTTTTGAAGTTGGTGAGGTATAAAACTTACCTAGTTTAAGATCCCTGTGCAAGATTTCCTGCTCATGAAGATACTTTAGCCCTGACACAATTTGCCTGAGGTAGTATCGTACTTCTGGTTCTGTCAATACCTTCCTCGCTTTTAAGATATGAGCCATTGACTGCAGAGGAAAAACAAAGGCAGAAACGTCACTGAACATTCATGCACAAGATTCACCTTAAGCAAAAATACATCAATGCACAGAGAAATGACAACTAAAGAAGCCACAAAAAAAATACCTTTTACACATCACACATTTAAATTAGTTGCAGATTCCAGGTAAGTAAACACTAGATTTCTCCCAGTTGATGCTCACCCTTCTGCTGCAGTACTCCAGAAGAATGTAAATATTCTCTCTGTCTTCAAAGTAGTGGTAAAACTGTACAACATGTCTATGATTAAGCATTCTGTGCAGCTCGATCTCTTTATCAATCTGAAGAGACAAGGGGGCGGGGGAGGAAAGTGTTGTTAGCCTTGCACTCACAAGGCTGAGCAGAGAGCTCTATCAGTACCATTTCAGGAAAAGGGCTGGGCAGTCCAGCACACAAAGAGAGTCTGAAGACAAAAAGACAAAAAAAAACCCCAAAAATTCATGCACACACACCTTTTCCCTTTGATGAGGCTTTGCTACTCTGCTGTGAGGAATGATTTTTGCAGCATAAACTTTATTTGTTGTCAAATCCGTCATCTCGTAACACTTGGCAAATCCACCCTAGAGAGACACACGAGAAAAAAAAAAAACAATTATAGCAGGTATGAAAGGAGTCCCACACTTAGTCATTGACCAGCTCACGTATTAGTCAAAGAACGTATCTTCCTTCGCACAGGACAATTCACTAAAAGACAGGTCTCCGGCTCATCGCCTATCCGAAGGGTTCGCGTTGCGGCTCCTCCGCCCGCAACACCGCGGTGGTTTCTGGAGGCTGCACCGCGCCGAGGGCACGATTTAGGGGCAGAGACGAATCGGTGAAGGGGAAGGGTGCTCGGACGCACCGCGCCAGGACCAGGTCAGCGCAGGGGCAAGCCCCGCTCGGTGCGAGCGCACTCCA